GGAGAAGCAGTGTTAACGAAGAGTCGATTTGGACTTTTATAGAGTACCCTCTTCACCCTAGATATTTCAGAGAAATCCCTCGGAGCATTTGTCACTACTTTTCTTGAACATCCATAAATAGTCTAAGTTGAGGGAGCAAAAAACTGGGCTAATGTATTGAAGTTAATGATTCAGCCTCGCAGGTTTATCTCGCCGAGCATTTGTGCCGATGATCTCTTCTGCAGATGCACAGCCAGCCGGGACTTTCCGGGTCTCTGTCTCTGGACTGCAGAGCCCTCCGTCTCGAGTACAGGATTACGTTTTCTTGTTCGTCCTCCTGAAAAAACAATCGGAGTAAGAAAAATACTTCTGGATATTTTGTCTGCTTTTTAGGGATTAAAGTTTGAGGAGGTTCGCAGCTGTTCGACGCATTCCTAAGGGACGCAGACCCTTTTCTTTCAACGTCCAAATATCACACAACCTAAGACTCTGGGGCAGGGAAAGTGAAGAGACTATACAAACAAGTGATAGATGGAAAAGATATAAAGACAATCTTCAATCTCTTAACCAAACAAAGTCCCCTTGGCTCTCGCAGCCCCCACATAAAAGAAGGCCCTGAAGTTGTGGAGGCAGGACGGCACTCCGGCAGAACCTCACTAGGCGCCGTATGAAATCACGCCTCGTTGGCGTGCTTACTTTCCAGCTTGAAGTGTGTTTCATTTTGGAGCTTGTTTCTGACCCTGCCTTTGTGCATGGTGGCTGGGAAAATTGTCTGTACGTAGATATGTGTTTTCCTCCTCACATATTCCCTCCGCCTCGTCTGCCCCACCTCTATCCAAAAATAAAGGACTGCACTCATTCCAAGACCTCGGTTGGAAAGAGAGAGTGTAGAAACTCAGAGAACCGGGAAGACTGCATGAAACGGTAGCGTAGTGATAAAACAGACTCAGAACCGCTAAAGAAGCACATGCAGCGGGGTGGAGTAGTGGCTGTTTGCTTGTTTTGAAAGCCCTGGATTCCTTCTTCAAAGTAGAAACTTGACGGAGAATCTCAATATATGAAACCGTTCCAAACAGTGTTTTGTAGGGATAAATGTACCTTTCAAGTAGACATTTACAAAGGACACTGTGAAGAATTCTGTGGGCAAAACACTGTATGACACAGGAAGCATTGAAAGAAGATAAAAGAAATACACAGTCACTGTCCCAAAACGAAATGATCATCATTCCACCACTTCCGGAGACAGCATATGAAGACCCTGGGGTGCTGGAGGAAGGAGTCCGAGCTGCTCTGAAGGCTTCGGTCACTGGCAACAACCAAAGCCAAACAAACCAGACACCCCCAAGACCCGGGAATTGACTGACTGAAATGTTTGCAAAACTGGATCCGGTGTCGGCGGCATTCAGTCTCTGCGCCAAGAAATTCGGAAGGTAGCTAATTGACCGTCTGACTAGGAGACATCCATATTTGTGCCCACTCCAAAGCAAGGTAATCCCACAGAATGTCGAAATTGTTGAGCAAAATCATTGATATTAATATTAACATTGCACCTAAGTAAAATTTCACCCGAGATGATTAAAAACTGTTGCAGCAGCACCTTGAAAAGGAACTGCTAGAAATTCAAGCCAGATACAGAGAAGGCATGTGATGAGAATATCATTACAGTGATGAGATGGATCTTGACTGAAAGCAAACAGCACTAGAAAGATGTTTACTTGTTTATCGACTATTTATTCAAAGGCATTTGATTATGTGGACCTTTACAAATATGGATAATGTCTTGAAGGAAAATTCTAGGACATGTTATTGTGTGCATGTGGAACCTGTACATAGACCAAGAGGCTGTTGTTCAAACAGAACAAGGGTTACTTGTGTGGTTTAAAATCAGGAAAGGTGTATGTTGGAGTTCTGTCCTTTCACTTTATTTATTCACTCATTGTGCTGAGCAAATAATCTGAGGCGCTGAACTATATAAAGAAGAATTTTGCACCGGGATTGGAGGAAGACTCATTGGTAATCTGTGAAATGCAGAGAATGTAAGCTTGCTTAGTGAAAGTGAAGAGGGCTTGAAGCACCAAGACTCCAACCTTCGGTATTGATTACACCTCAACAAAATGGAAAACAAAAATCTTTACAACTGGCCGATAAGCTGTATCACAATACATGGAGAAAATATTAAAGATGCCAAGAGTTTTGTTTTATTTGGAACACCCATGGAAGTAATCAAGAAGTACAACACTGCACTGCCTTGGGCAAGGCGACTGCAGAGTTGGTGGCAACTCCTCGTGACTCGAGTGCAGTGCAGAACTGGCCCTGTGGGTTTCCAAGACTAACTCTTTAGGGAAGTAGAATGTCTCCTCTTTCACCGTTGGAGCCTCGGCTGGAGGTTTTGAACTGCTGACCTTGTGGTTAGCAGCCCAACATGGAACCACTATACCACCAGGGCTCCTTAGAGGTCTACTTACTAGGAGTCAAAAAGTCAGAATCAGCTGGACCACAATTTTTAAAATTGGGGAAAGAACTCGCCAGCCCTATGATCCAATAGAGACCACACCTCTGTTCACTCAGAATCATAAACACATTAAAACCAATTGTAAATCAAAGACCTATCTTTTTAAAAAGCACGTGTAATTGTGTAGTCTGTTCCATGGCTGCTGGGGACACAGGTATCTAAAGATATCTGTTGGATTATCTGGAATTTTGTAACTGAAAGGGATTTGGAATCAATTTGGAGGTTTTCTAGCAAATGGAAACATGCAATGTCATTGTATGGTGCTCAGATCTCTCACCATTTTGAAATTAGGACTGTTTCCTGCTCATGTCTTTTCAGATGCTAGACAGTTTGGAAAGAGTACATTCATGTTGTCATATCTTTTTAGCACTCTATCATTTGATCTCCCTTATGATCCATTTAAATTTGTTCTAGTTTTTAAACTTTTCTGCTTTTCAATTTGAGGTTTCCATCTGTTTTACTTTGTTTTTTAAATGTTTTCCTGTCTATGAATCCAGGATAGTTAAATCTATAGAGACAGTCACTGGATTAATGGTTCCTTGCGCGTATGGCAGGGAAGGTTCGGTGGGAAATAGGAAGCTAATAAGTATGTTCTAAATGTTCTAAAATGGATTTGGGTGATGATTGTATAACTCTTCTTGATGTGATTGAACTATTGAATTTTTGATATGTGAATTATGTGCCCATTGAAACTGTCCAAAAATGTAGTCATATCTTTTAATTAGCTAGAATACTGCCCTCTCTTTCAATTTCCGTAGAAAGGTAGCTGAGTACCATGTTAGCTCCGTGGCTGGCACCTAATAAGCACGTAACTGTGAAGCAGTGCGACCCGCAGCAATGTGATGCCTTAGAGCAGTGGTTCTCAACCTGTGGGTCGCCCGACTCATAACGGTAGCAACATGACAGTGATGAAGTAGCAACGGAAATAATCTTATGGTTGGGGGGTCACCACATGGGGATCTGTATTAAAGGGCTGTGGCATTAGGAAGGTTGGGAACCACTGCCTTAGAGAGAGAAGAGGAACAGAGCAGTTTCCATTAGGACTTTAATATTCCTTGGTTGGATGTGGCGTCTTGGAGCGGATTTGGCAGATTTTTTATTTATTGGCGTGGTGTGTTCTCAAGATGGAGTAGGTATGGTGTAATTGTTAACCATTACCTCACTGAAGAATTGGAAAAGCCCTTTGAAGTTGCATTCTGCGATCTACATACAAATCACAGAGCTGGCAGCCTCTAGTCCTAGACGGGGACATTGCTGACTTAAGCAACCAGCCCTTCTCGCCCGATTTTCTGCCATTAAAAGACTAACTGGAGGGTAGAGGGCAGGCAAAGGGAACAAACAGGTTGTCACACAGTAACTCCACAAAGCACTCACGTTTGCAATCCCTGGTTGGATTTTGCATGCCAGCGTGGCCACCATTAGCTGTGGGGCCCTCTCTTAGTCTTCTTTACTTCTTCTCTAACTGTGGTTAATAATATCTGACGTCTTGGCTGCTGTGAGTTTGAATTAAACAGCTCATTCTCAGGCCTTGGTAAGTAATACAACTAACCTGTATTTTCTGTTTCTCTCCACAAAAAAATTCAAGTTCCAAGCGAGAAACTTCTCATTGCTTAAATTAGTGCTGTGAATGGAAGAGGTAGTTGGTCATTCTCTTGGGTCCCAGTGTTTTCATTAGAAATGAGCATCGAGGCGTGGCACTTTATTGCTCCACTAGAACCATAGCCGTTGGAGGCATGAGTGCATTCTAGTATGATATGTGGTCTTTGTTTGTCAGCCCCTGGACCTGAGATCGTGGCTCTTTCCATGGGATTTAATCCCCTTAGATGATGCCTTCCACAGACTTGAATAGTTTTTATTGATGTTGTTTTGTTTTTCATGGCAAATGCCTCCAGGTTGCTTCCTTGTTTTTGTTGTCAACGATTGTTATTAACCATCGAGTGGACCCTGATAAATTTGTGGGAAGGGCAGTCTCTAGCACTCTAGGGATGTTGTCACTAAAGACAAAAACCAAGTTACTTTGCAGGCAGAGAGAGTTACTGACTCTGGAATCGGACAGCCTTGACCTGTTCCAGTCGAACAACAAAGAACTGTGGTTCTAGACTGACTCCCTCTTACTTAACACTGGGCAAGGGACAATCTCTCCGAGGCTCAATTGCCTAACGAGTCAAATGGACATGATGGTGACTCTTCATACAACAAAGTGATGGAGCTCAGACGAGATCATGCAGAAAAATCACTTAGCAAGTTCTACGAGCCTGACGGATGCTCCGCAGATACTCTTGCTTCCCCTCTTTCTCCTTTCCTCTTTTCCCCTCCCTCTTTTCCTTCACATTATTTCCCTTGAGAGTCTTCAGAGAAGGAGAAACCTAAACTGGACTTTCAAGAGGCAAGCTCTCTTCATCTCTGGTTTGGCTTTGCTTCCTGCGATTTTGTGACAGTAGACTATGATCGTAGATTTTTGCTTACTTAACTACATTGATTTTTACCCTCCTCTCTTGTTCCATTGCAGGAAGGATCAGAATGTCCTCTCTCCAGTCAACTGCTGGAATCTCCTCTTAAACCAGGTGAAGCGAGAGAGCCGGGACCACACTACCCTGAGTGACATCTACTTGAACAATATCATCCCCCGGTTTGTGCAAGTCAGCGAGGACTCAGGGAGACTCTTTAAAAAGGTACACAGCGCTTCCTGGTCACAGCTCTTGGCTGAAGCCATGAAGCAAACTTGGAAATAAGAGAAAGGCTAGTTTTGTTGCTTGCTTTAAACGACGTGAGCCTGGTCATTCCTCACCACAGGCCCGTGGGGAAAAGGAAATGAATTCCTTTCTTTCTGGGTGAACGCATAGCTTCTTATTCAGAATGTGAGGACTGTGAAAAGTTTGGCGATGGTAAAATGTTTCTGGATACACAACCACCAAAAAGTAATTCAAAATCAAAGGCATAATGAATCCAAGGCATTTCTGGCTGCGCTGGCCCGTGCTGCAGCTTTCCCAGGTGGAAAGGGGTCATGCGTGGGGAAGGGGAAGAAGCCCTGAGCTGCAAGGAGCCCTGCGAAGGGACTGTTGGCGAGGAGCAGTCCAGGGGCTGGCATCATGGCTCGGGAATCTGCCTAGGTGAATAATGGCTGCTTCTGTGGGCAGGTGATAGATAACGGGGAGTTACTGACGTTCAGGGGCCTTCCGCGTCATGTTGTATTTTCTAATTCATGTAGCCAATGCTTGCGTGCCTGTCTGTTCAGTGCCTTTTCCAGACTCTCATTTTGGCCAGGCTGGACTCCGCCGCTTGATTATTCGTACACTGACATCTCTTTTTTGTCTTTGGGTCCGCCAGTGCTTCCTGGGGTCCAATTGTTTAGCACAAATCCTTGGATGAAGGTTGATTCATTTAATTAGGGACATGGCCCCAAATTGTGAATCATCAGGCATTTCTGCCAAATCTACCATACACGTCAGTGATGGAACCAGCTTCTTCTTGACTTGGTAGCAAACGGTGACCCAGATTCCCAATCATTGTCCATGGTGTAGTGTTCTTGCATTCAAGAAGAAGCAGCCCCAGATGACTTTTCTGAAGGAAATAATCTCCCTGTGAGTTAGAAGTAGAAAGGGGATAAGTAGGGCCGTATAGAATTCATTGGTTTCCATTGAACAAAACCTAGTGTTAAGATTTGAGCCTGGGCTAGAAAGAGCCTTGGTAAACAAGATTGTGGGGGATATAGCCATCTATTGCTATTGATTGTTGATCAGTTTTATAATTCTTAATGTTAGGAAGCTTCCCAGATCTAGGTTAAAAAAAAAATTAGAACCCAGTTTCTTCTATTTTCTTGCTAGCCTGAAGAGAATAGATTTAGACTCTCCCACCTATATAACTGGATCCCTGAAGGAGCTCTCCCTGTCTCTTATGGCAGAATGTTGAGAGGATGACCATGTGACAAAGAAGGAAGCAAAAGCTAGCACCTCCCAGAGCCTCCCTGCCTACTTGTGGTGGCCCTGCTGAGCCGTGGTTGGGCCACGCTTTGTTTCACGGCGAGGACACATTTTGCTCTCTCCTCCCTACTTTCCAGCATCTGTTTCAGCTTGGTTGTCAGCAGTTTGAGTTATTCTTCAGCACTTGCTGACATGTGTGTGACTAAAAGGAAAACCTCCTCAGGCAAAACCCTGACAGTAGTCAGGTACCACTGCAACTGTTCTCCTTGACCTTGACAACCACTTAGACTCTCTCAGGAAGGAAGGGGATCATCTGGCGGTTCCCTCCTTCTTCTCTATGTTCATCGGAGAGAAATCCTTGTGTGAGAGTCAGCCATTTAGACCTTGCTCCATAATTCAGTTCCCTTTCCTCTCAGCCTTAGAAGAGTAGAGAAGAACCAGGGTGAGCCAGTTCTGATGACCTTTCCAGATCCAGACCTGGAGGCTGGTGGCAGGAGACAGCAAAGCCAGGATTGCTCCTGGCTCCACACACCAGGCTCCATTCACATTTTGAAGGTCTAAGTGCATGGTGTGCAATTGGACTTCCAGAAGGAAAGTCTTCCCGTGAATTAATGGTATTCCTAGTCATGCGCCCAGGTTAACTTCATACTGTATTTCTATGTGGACGGTATAAGGAAGAATTTATTTCTCACAGGTCTGTTTGCTGTGCTTATATTTCATTGAAGAAAAACTCGCATGTTCTGAGAGTACAACTCGGTGTCTTTCCACACACGGAACATACCTGGGTAGCCAGCTCCCAGGTGGAGAAACACTACAGAACCCTAGAACTCTCCCTCATGCTCCCTTCCAGTTCCAACGCCCAGCCCCACTTCAAGGCTAACCACTGTCCTGGCGCCTAACAGAAGGGGTTGACTCGGCTCTGTTTCATGCTTTAGAGAACTAGAAGCAAGCAATGTGTGCCCTTTTTGTTTGTTTTCTCTCAGTCAGCAATCTGTTCTATAAGATTGACCCAAATTATTATAAATCATTGCAGATCGTAGGACTGCTTCTTGATCTTTTTTAACTTTCCATCAATTAAATGGTAGTTGATTAGAGATAGGCATGGTATTGTGGATTAGTCAGTGTTTACTGTCCCATAGGATGAATAATCTCCATTCTCTCCTCCCCTGGGGTCCCAATGTGGGCAGAGAATTCTGAAGTCAAGGCTGGCTTGGCAGGTAGAAGAGTAGATTAATTATTTGGGATGAAGGAGAAGCTCTTAGCTTTCTAGTAATAGGCAAAAGGAACATTCTCTCCACACTCCAATTCTTCTTTTTTAATCATTTTATTGGGGGCTTGTATAACACTTAGCACAATCCATCCATCCATCCATTGTGTCAAGCACATTTGTATATTTGTTGCCCTCATCATTCTCAAAACATTTGCTTTCTACTTGAGCCCACTCCAATTCTTCACTTTTGTTGTTGTTGTTTGTAGAGTGTCATTCACAGGAGGAATTGGGATGCCACTGGATGAGAAGTCGGAGTCAGATAAGAGACCTAAGGAATGTGCCTGGTTGTCCCACCAGTTATGTGAAGGTTTCCTGGACTTGATTTATGCAATGAGAGCAGAGGCCATTTCCTTGGGATACTTCCTGTTAAGCTCAGCTCTGCTGTTACTCTGGCCAATAACTTCACCTTTCTGTGCCTCAGCTTCCGCGGCTGTAAACAGGGAGTGACTCTTCTCAGGTTCTGATAGGATCTCCAGAACCACTGCCATTTGGACTCATAAGGACCCCAGAGTAGAGTTTGCCCTTAGCTTTTTCAAGGTTGGAGTCTTCAGGGAAGGAGCCCTGGTGGCCCAATGGGTAAGTGCTGGGCTGCTAACCAATAGGCCCCTAGTTCAACTGAAAGGAGAAAATACCCGGCAAGCTGCTCCCGTAGCGATTTGTAGCTTAGGCATCAGGTCTACTCTGTCCCGTTGGCTTGCCCGAGTCAGAATTCACCCTGGCACACGGCAGTGGTCTTCATGGGGGCTCTGAGAGGCACTGCATTAGGAAGTCCTGGATAGAGTGGGAGGAAAATGTGGAACAGGAGTCAAAATCATCTTCCTGGTCAGATGGAGGCTGTGGGAACCCCAAGACTATGGCCCTTAGTCACCTGTTAGGTCTCTGTGTTAGTCTGGGTAAACTAGAGAAACAAATTCTTAGAGACACATATGTATATAAGAAAGGTTTATATACAGAGTACATTAAGAAAACATTCCAGCCCAGTCCAGATCAAGCCCATCAGCCCAATATTAGCCCATATGTCCGATACCAATCTATAAATTCCTCTTCAGACTCAAAAAACACATGCTATGATGCTGAATGCAGGAAGATCACAGGCCAGTGGGTGGATAGAGTCCTCCAGGTCCAGGACTCTCACTGCAATCAGCATAGCCCCATTTGTCTTGTCAATAGAGAGTTTCTCAGGGAGTGAGCCTTTGTCCCGCCTCCAACAAGCTATTTATCTCTTTTGCACCTCCAAATGAGGTCATCAAACATCAGATAAGACAGTAGCCTTGGAGACAATGTCTCACAATGTCTCAATCTGATGGACAGGCTAAACTCCACCCCTTCACTCGTAATCCTCAAATTGACACCAGATTATGTAACCCCCACAGTCTGCAAATTAGTTCCTTCCTGTGGCTCCATTTTCAGCCAAACAATAGACAGATGTATCAGGGAACAGAAGCACTAGTAAGGTACACACAATTTGGAATCATTTCCCACTGGAGATCAAAAGGCCAGCATTTACCCAAGGGCAGAGTTCAAGGTTAGGAGAAAAGCAGGAGTAGAGGAGGGATACATGGAAAGGAAATGGAGTAAGTAATGCTATATCCTCAATCCATAAAATGGAAAAGAAATGTATGAATTATTGAATGGAAAACAGATCTGTTTTGTAAACCTTGATTCAATTCACAATGGAAAAAAAATAAAGTAAAACATCTTCACAGAAGCAGACAGCCACATCTTTCTCTAGCAGTGAGGCCGGTAGATTTGAACTGCTGACCTTTTGGCTAGAGGCTTAGTGTTTAACCAGGGCTCCTTATGATTTCCATAAGGAGCTTTCTAATCTAATGTTCTGTAATTCTCTGATAACATGAGTATCCTAGGCTGGGGACTTCTGCTTCTTTTGTTAAGTCAGGGAAGGCAAACAGCAGTCTCAGAGATAAGGATATACGTAATTGATGAGCAAATTCCCTAAAGGAGTGAGACATTGTCTCCAAGGCTACTGTCTTATCAACCAAGGACATGTTGCATACCCAGAGTTTTAGGTATTGTTTTTCTGGTTTTTTTCTTATTTCAAGGGTTATATATAATGACCAGCATCTGAGGGATACCGAAACTGGTATCCACATCTATAAAGTAGATATGTCTTTGATTTTACCAATGCGTGTGGTTCTGATCAACCAAAACTAAAAGCCCATTGAGAAGTTGATTCCTTCTCACAGCAATCTTATATAGGGTTTCCAGGCCTCTAAATCTTCCTGGGAACAGACAGCCTCATCTTTCTTCCATAGACTGGCTGGTGGGTTTGAACAGCCAACCTTATGGTAGCAGTCCAACGAATATTCCAGAGTGCCACCAGAGCACCATGGTTCTGACAAGGGGAAAAACCATATTTCTTTGGGGATGTAGGCTTCATAAGGAGCCCTGGTAGTATAGTGGTTACACGTTAGGCTGCTAACCACATGATCAACAGTTCAAAACCACTAACTGCTCCTCGGGG